ACTCAACTCAACTCCCCCAAAACCCAATAGTCTGCATACTTTTAAAATACAAACACTAGTAAATCCTAAATATTTGATTTTCTTGCATCACAGTATTGGTTTCCGAACTTTTAACATTATTACGTAAAAATCAAACTGAATTACTTTTACATTTCCTCCGGTAAATAAAAAAAATCATGCAACGTTTTCGGATCTTTAAGACCTTGAAATAAAAATAATTCAAATGATTAATAAGTATAAAATCTGAATAAGTTTTGTTGCTAAGCACGGAATAAAACACAAAATTTTAAAGGATTTTGTTTTTAACAAATTGATGAAGTGAAGCAAAAATTTTTATCTACTTTAAATACCTATTCAAACTTATGAGGCTGATGGGGAGGGGGGGGGGGAGTCCAATCTGATAGTAAATTATTGCTTCTTAACAAATGTATGTTATCAAATAACATTTAGTTAGTTTTTTATAGGATTAAGTTTCTATACAATCCTCATTCATTCTTTCGTTTGGTAATAGATATCAATATAAACGTTGAGAAAAGCATCAAAATAATTATAATTTCGAAAATGAAATATTTTTTGTGAATTTTCAAAAGTGAGTATTCCATTATTTTTTAACCCCCCTTTTCACAGAGTTTTGAAATATTTACACTAATTTTTAATTTGATGTTTCGTTGGGTTTAAAAACGTGCATTTCAGAACCATTAAGTAAGTTTATATTGAAATGCAGTTTAAAAGAAGTGTTTTGGAAAAAGACTGAAAGATTATTTGGGCGAGAGCCGGCACATTTAGATGCATGTGAGGTATATTTCAAATACTGAAAAAATAAATATAATTGTGTAACATATTTTAATTTTACAAACTTAGATTTAATCCTAATATATTTCTTTTACACTTAATATTAAATTTGTAGCAAAAACTTATTTTCTTTACAGTGACATCCAATTGTACTCTTAGAAGAATTATATTTCTTTGAAGTATGCTTTTCATTAAGGTGTCCACGGTCCACGGATGACTTATTTTAGAAAATGGATGCACGTGGTAACTTTTTACAGAAAGATCTCAAACTTATTTATTATAAAATAAAGGTCTCAGCTCATATATTAGTCGAATATATTTGTTTGTATGTTAGATATAGCTGGCAAAGCAGCGATGAATGTGCTGAAACTTTTTGAGCGAACCCTTGAGTACCCCATAGGTAACATAGGCTAAAAAAAATCTACGTTTTTTCTTCAAAATTCCAATTTTTTTTAAACGCTGGGCATTTTAGGTAGATATATATTGTAAGCATGGAGAAAGGCTTACTTGTAAATAAGCTTTAATCAACGATAACAGTGAGGCAAATGATAAATCGCCTCTTGTTTAAAGTGTAGAGATATTTTTCTGTTAAAAGATGCAAGCCCAGAAAACATGCTTTTAAGGCATGTTTGAACGCATGGAAAACCAAATTTAAATTCAAGCCAATAGGCTTAAACCACGACTTGAAGCATGGGGGAGGAGGAAATAGGATTGTCCTGGGCTAAAACTGAAATGGAGTTTATAGTAATCACAAAGAATCGGAAAGAGGAGGATTAAATATCATATGAGGCGGAAGAAAGGTGGACAGTCGCTTGTTCGATCAAAAANGATGTTGATCATGAAACCCAAAGTGGGGTGTGTGGGTAAAATGGGACCGGACTTGAATAACTTAATGAGTTCTTTTTTGGTTTTGGTGTTTTTTCTTCGGATACTTTCCCCGGGGGGGAGTGTTTAGTGGATTTGGTGAATCCAGGGACCGGAAGGAGTATCCGAGTAAAACCAAACCAAATAATTTTAGAGGTTGATTCGAGAACTTTCACGTAGTGCATCAGAGAGAAATAACGACCGAATGCTAGTATAAGCACCGGGTACGCGTGGAACTTTTTTCTCATCTGAATTAAATCATTTATTGTTTAGCGATAGTGCTTTTTAGTATATTAAGTACGAATTACCTATTTCAAAATGTTATAAACTATGTGAAAGGAATTATTCAAAGTCCGGCCCATTTCAGATTTATATGAAGAAAAGATCGTCGTTTTGTGACTGAGCCTACCGAATTTGTTCTGAGGACGGAGGAGAACTACGGTAAGAGGGTAGCGAATGAGTACGGGGTTAGTCATGATCAACGTTGAGTTTATTGACGAGTATTTGGACGGAGTTATCATATTTTATATATTGACGGAAATAATATGTAAACTTTTAGTAATGTATTCGTAAGATAATCTCACCCAGTATTGCTATAGACGAAGAGTATATATATGTTTACATGGGTTGATGATGTCTTTATTTTAAGTTTTGAACCTGAGAATCGTGATGTATTGCAGCACAATGTATGGATAGATCGTTGACTGCAATCCAACCGAGGTTACGAGACTAGTATCACCGGGAACAATATATATAGATTATCCGGAAAGATTGAGTGTGAATTTCCTCGAACTGCGTCAAAGGAGGAGGACAGAAAGAGGACAGGTTTACCAGAGGACAGACCGTGTCAGCTACCAACCAAAGTCATGTTCGGGAATGGTTTAAGTTATTGTATCATTATCAGCATCAGACTGGAGAGGAATTCACGTGGTGAATATTTACTACATCGAATCAAGGTACAAGAGGAGGTGGTGAAACTATTGGAGTCATTACCAGTGTGCACAGGGTTAGGAATAAGAGGAGACGTTACTGATATTGAATTCTACTACTCTCTATTGGCTGGAAGAACTGTATCTCTCCAAGGTTATATTGATCTTGCGGCCCTGGCGATCATTTCTGGGTACAACCTGATGGCAAAGAGCATGACGCCGATGGGTGTTCAAGTAATTGGACACACTCTAAACAAGTGCTGCAGTACTGGTGATGGGAAATGGGCTTATGGATGGCAAGAAATCCCTGAATCTCTCCAACTGTATGGTATTGCAGACATCATGTTCGGTCACATTTGTTACAATGTTTTATCCACAATCCTGGTGAGAGATATTTTCCCTGACCCGGAGATCACCTGCAAGTTTTTCAATGTACCTGATCAATGGTTTGCTGTAGCATGGATTCAATGAATTGATCTCCTGGTCTCTGGATGGGATTGAAATCCACAACGTGGATTTTGACAAGGCTAGCTCCAGAGAAGAAATGATCCTGTCACTACGGTACAGATATTCAGCTGAGTCTCCATTAATGGAGGAAAGCCCGGCCAAGGTGAAAATCTGGTGCAAGCTGATAGGAGGATGGCCTTCACTGACAAATGGAGGCTGCAGATACCTCCTCCAAGCTAGGGATAAATTCTTGGAACAAGCACAGGTATTAAAGAAGTCTAAGTTCAAATGGAGATTGGAGGTAACCATGAGGGAGATCACGAGTTCGTTTAAGGAATATGCAAGGTTTGGCCTGAGTAAAGAAGAAATCTTGAGATGTGATTTCCTCGAACCAGCTCCATTCCACTATGGATTGCTCCGACCCAGATCTTGTCCTGTTCCCCCATTGTTCATGAACCCTGAGAAGATCAAGCCTGGAACCATAGGAAAACTTGTGAAGAAGCAGGAACGGAAGATGAAACCCATTATCTTCGAATGGGCTAGGATGAACCCTCACAAGATAGAGAAGATGTTCGAGAGATTAACCAAGGATGAATCCTTCAGAAAGTTCTTGTATGGATCTTATCAGGGTTTAAGAATGATCTACCGGAGGTTACATAACAAGGAGGCGGTCAGGATCAAGGAGTTAGATGACACCTTTATTGACAACATTGCCAGTCAACTAATTGAGGAGGAAGAGCGTGCTCGAAAATCCAGGGAGTTGTATAAGGCAAGGAAGGATCGATGTGAACACCTAAGGAATGTTCTCCGGGCTAAGGATGATGAGGATCAAACCTTATGTCTGGAAGAACTCCCTAGGTTGCCAGATTGGAAACCAAGAAGGAGAGGTCGAAAGAGGGTGCGGTCTAGATCTAGATCTCGAGCTGGTGCGAAGAGGATCAATGTAGAGCTCCAGAATCCTCCAGGACAGGTAATTGCGGAAGATCACTCCAAGGACGTGCAGGAATCAGCTCAGGGTGATCAGGGAACAGAGCAGTATGCAGAAACTCGGGAAATCCGTATGGTAGACCCTGCTGAAGAGGTTGTAGTGATCGAGCTAGAATCAGAGGAAGATCCTGATCTTGTAGGGATTAATGATCCGAAACCTTCATGCAGGAAGATCATGCCAGAGAAGAGGAAGAGCAAGGGTAAGAAGAAAGGGAAGAGGGCTCCGACTCCAGCTAGGACGTACGATGAGATCATAGAATCCGGAACCTACAAGAACTCAGACGATGAATTTGATCTTGAGACTTATTTCTCCGGGGACATTATATAGGTGGCTCAAGGATCGCAGATATACCTGATGTAGCTCTCATAAATTGATATTTTGAATTTTTAAAATTATGTGCTGAAATAATTTATGGAGAGTCTCAAAACTTGTTGCATTTTTTACGTTCAAACCGTGGAGATAGATTATTTAGTCCTGATTACATGCCCAATCCATGATCATTGATCGATCCATTGCGATCATACACATTTATTGCAAAGTTTATATTACTCTAATGATGGTCTTGACTCCAGGATCGCTAAATAGTACATGATAAGTATAGTTGTAAATTTTAAAAAGAAAGATCATGCAAGCACATTAAAAGAATTTATGTTGTTAATAAATATATCGTTTTTTCTGTTAATTGTGTGTTTTATTTAACATGTCCGTCTTATCCGTCGATGTTGATCATGAAACCCAAAGTGGGGTGTGTGGGTAAAATGGGACCGGACTTGAATAACTTAATGAGTTCTTTTTTGGTTTTGGTGTTTTTTCTTCGGATACTTTCCCCGGGGGGGAGTGTTTAGTGGATTTGGTGAATCCAGGGACCGGAAGGAGTATCCGAGTAAAACCAAACCAAATAATTTTAGATACAATTTTCAAAATTTACGAAAATAACTCAGTTTTAAAATGGGGGTTCTGGCTTTACTGCTCATCTCTTCATTAATAGTTTATGCTATAAGTGGAAGGTAAATACTCATTTTTTTCTATGATAATAAAGTTCTTTGCTCAAATATATGTATATTTGTATTGTATATGTATTATGTTTGTATGTTAGCTATGGCTGGTCAAACAGCTGGACTGGCCGAATTGGCTGAAATTAGTTTTTTTTCAAAAATCTATTTTTTTTTAAATCGAACTTTTTATATTCGATTTTTTAAACACAAGCAACAAATTAAAAAAACAAGTAAATTTGTTATTTGGACTGGTTACCTTTCTGAAATAACAAATAGTGACAAATTTAAAAAAATAATGTACAACTAATTATATAAAAGTTTGTACATGTATTTTTAAATAGTAGCCATTAAATAAACATCATTACTTTAAGACTGTACACAAGAAGTGGAAAAATCTCAAAGTCAACCTGGGGATTTTCTGACAAAAAACAGGAACAAATTAAATATTTTATAAAACTATTGTGTGATGTAAAGTTTTGACTGGTTCCGGGATTTATTTAAGTTATTTCCAAAATATTCTTTTTCAATTGAAATAAAAATAAAATTAAAATCAACTATATTTAGGCTTCTGC